TTAAGCTATGTAGGCTTACCTAGGTCCAAAATAGACAATATCACTAGTTTGATGTGTTTTACATCCTAAATTTACCTGAGGCTCCATATTGCTAGGCCATCATCTCCGTGACTCCTATCAGCGTAGAATCCTCCAGCCCATCTTTCTGATTTATTGTACGGTGTCACCCATAATTGATACTTGGTATAAGCTGCTCGACGTTGAGGGTAGTCATCATCTGATAGCAAGGACATGGCTGGTCGACTTGGTATTAACCGATAAGACACATCATTTCCAACTTTTGTCTTCTTATTTGAATTTACAATCAACAATTCAACTGGTTCTAGTCCTAAGTTTGTTTTAGCCTCACTTTCTGTTTTCATAGTTTCTTTTACAACTTTCCAATAACTCTTCCTAGGTGAAACGTTTCGCTCCTTCACAGTCGTAGTTATCAATTTGGATTTTACAAATGAATTATCAGTACCATCAACATCAAGATCAAGGTAGTAAGTAAGGAAATGATCATGGTTCACTGCAATTGTGTTTTCTGCTACAAGGGTCCCGTAAACATCCTCTGTTATTTGATTATCGTTCGTATATTTCACAGCCTTTGTCTCCATAACTCCGGTTAAACTTACCTGCATAGACAATTCAACGTATAAAGATTGCGAAAAAATTAGAAGGATTAATATTTAACAAGCATAACATCTTAAATTTCTTACTCCAACTTTGATAGTTCCACTTTGTTTGAACTCCCAATCAAGTGTATAATCATAATTTCCCACTGTTGCTACCATTCTAACAACCAAATTAACTTCTTGCTGTCCCTTAGTGTTCTGCAAAAAACAAATTATTTATGTCACTAGACGATCGCGATAGTTAGTATATATGCAAAAGGTTTGATTTGAGGCTTAGCTTACTGTATTTCCTGGTACTCCATTTTCTGTATGCCTCCAAGCAGCATCACCAACATATCTTTCAAATATGCATATCGCGTTGGGTACTTGCACTACCCCTCCTTCTGAATCAGCCATATATCCAACCATATACACTGCATTGCTCGGACAATCTAGCAACGGAACAAGACTACTAGCAGACCTTCCAAAACCAAATTCACCAATATCCATGAAAGTTCTGTAGTACCATTCAAATGTAGGATCCATGTAAGGCACAAATGTCTCTGATACATGACCTCTATAGAGCACACGTCGATATTTCTTTGTTGTAGTATCAAATATAGAAGCTGTAGACACGATCGTTCCTGCCTTTGTGTTGAATCCAACATGAAAATCCCAATTAGCCCATTTAACTTCATTGCCTTTGATGATAATCCTGCTGGTATCAGTGTCATTGCAAGTGACTGATCCCTGGCTCGATGACTCGAAAATAGCACTCTCAGCTTTAGGCAAGGGGACTCTGAATCTATCTGTATATTTGATTATCTTCATAGATTCAACATCTACTAGTGTAGTGATCCCCTCAATTGGCCTTGCCCAAAAATTAGTTGTCCCTCTTCGATAAAAACATGGAACGTTAAGAACTCTTCGTGTCTTTGGCTCCCCAAACCATCCAGCTGGTTGTGGTATGCAACTGACTTCTGATATATTCAAACCCCTTCTCAAAATTGAATCTTGCAATTGATGATTCCTCAATGTCAGCCTGCTGGATCGTATAATGTCATCGAGAGTAATTGGAGGGAAACCGTGGCCAGTATACACATTCTCTGATATGATAGCGCGAGTGGACAAGTCCACCACTACTTCATAAGTCTCACTATTTGCACGAACCACTACCCTGGCTCGACGATAAGGAGAAACAACATGTTTATGCTTATGCAAGGACATCCAATGAAGGACATCCTTTTTTGGGGGCTCTTCAAGATCAACAGAGTGAAATGTTAAATTGGAGAGGGAACTAAAATGAGACTTTTGAATAATGACTCTAATTTTGTTGATCTCAGTAGGGCTAAGAGGGTCTAAAGGATGATGGCATTCGCTTCTAGTGAAACAGAACAAGAAAACAGTAACAAGAATTGGAAGAGCCAATACTTTTATGAACTCCATAGAGAACTTGATATAGAAATTGTGCTTTGACATTTACAAACTGTTTGCACATATTTATTAGTGTGTCACCATAATAATGTCTTCCATATTTGATTATTACTTTCTTAGAGGAAAAGTTTTGGCCTTTTATAAATCGCAGATCTATCCTTTCCACAATAACATAATAACATCCACAATATAATCGTTTAAATATTGAGTCTCAATAGCTTTAAAAGTTTTTGTTTATATATATTAATATTATATGTAGATCGATTGATCAAACTCATATCATATCATAGTCTTTATTATTATTTTTTCTTTGTTGTTTGATTTATCATCACTAATGGTCTGTTTGTTTGCTTCCTGTCGACATCCCGTTATTTTGATCGCCTTATGTGACGTCATTTGATTAGATGTAGAGTTTAAATAAAGAAAGACTTTTAAAACTAGTGATCTAAAACATGTCATAGACATTTATGCAGCTTTAATAAAATCATATTATTTAAGTAAAGCAAGAAGTTTAATGTTACATTATTTCTAAATATCTAAAGATGACATTCTTTTTTGAACAGACTAAAAATATAACCGAGGCACATAAAATGGGACCAAGGGAGTATATTGTAGGAAGATCTTCTTTTCCTTTTATATTCTAATGGCTATATAATATTGCACAATCATGATAGCTTCATTTAGCATACACTTGGTGTACTCACTTAAAAAAAAAGCTTATCAAGAAGATAAAAAGCAACCAAACTCATTCAATACAAGTAATGGAGCAATGCTTCTTGATGTTTCTTGCGTTGAAAGCTAAGAATGCTTTGACTTGTTCTTTAATAACTTAGTACAATTCTTAAACATGTCATGATATTTGTGTTACTATAACATCATGTCATTAAAGGTAAACAAGAAATTTAAAGTTAAACCATTTTTAGATATAGAAATGTTGTCCGCCTTTTTGGAACCAACTAAAAATACGTACAAATAAAAAGCGCCATCTCAGTACACGAAGCATTCCACATTCATGTCATGGCGTATTATGACACAATCATCAATAGGCAACAACTTTACCGTTGCTTCAAGACTGGTCTTGGAAAGAAAGGAATACAATTTTTTTAAACTATTAAAAGAGGCCAGATTATAAAACAATGCCACTATCCACATGATCCATCTGGACATGGATTATGCTTAAAGATATTTGCTGGCCATAACTTTAAGGTTGTTTGTTTCAAAAACCTCAAGCATTGATATTTTTTAAACCAGGCCTCTTTTTTTGGTTGAAGTTGAACTTCTAACTTCAAATACCAAAGAAAGAATTTGCATAAATAGGGTACATGTGTATTATCATTAAGCAACATGTGATCACAAATATACCTTATATCAATAAGAGGCGCGAGATTTTGAACTTTATGTTTTCTAAAATTTAGAATAGCGATATCAAATGCTTATCTACATTTAATTTTGTTGCATATTAAGTGATACTATAATTTACACCAAATATTCGATCGAACTTGTAAATAACTCTTTAGCTCCCATTTTGATGTCAATCTCTTGTTATTCACCTTTAGTAACGGAGTTTATAATAACAAGTAAGACCAAGTTTTTGAGGTTGCTATTAGGGATCAAAACCTAAATTTTGACCATGTATTTTATAGTTGTGGAATTTACTAGTCTAAAAAAAAAATTAGAAAATTTACTAAAACAATTTAAAATACAATATCGATATAATTTTTTTTTCATACCATCATCATATATAAATAAAATTCATCTTAGACATAATATACAAGTTTTTATCAAGACGCAAAAGGCAACAAAGGCACATGCTTAATAAAAATTTACACTATTATCTAGGTGAAATTTCACCTAAAATTTCGCAATTCAATCTTAAATGACCGAAGAAGATTCAATGAATCATTTTTAATTCATAAAAATAAGGAGAAATACAGTGAGCTATGAAGTTTCAGTTACATTTATCATAACCAATTGATAGATCATAACTAACCAGAGCTATGTACAAGCAACAAATCATACTAGCCAATTACGATTTATAAATTGTGCTCCTCAAAAGTAATGTTTAAGTTGTAGTAATCAATTGATAAATCACATTTAAAAACTATTACTACTACTATTTATAATATCAAAAGATATAACTCTACTTCTCTCGAGTCATTTTTGACAGGAAAATATTTAGCACAAATTGAAATTAGTTGGGTCAAAATAGATATCGAACACCAGGGTGGGAAATAAAAGAAAAGTTAATTCTTGAGAGTCGTTTTTGGCAGGAAGCTTGGAAAGTTTTTTACGCGAACTGAAACTAATTGGGCCAAAACAGATACCGAACACCTGAATGGGAAACAAAAGAAAAAGTTACTTCTCGAGAGTCGTTTTTGGCAGAAAGCTTGAAATTTTTTCTGCGCGAACTGAAATTAGTTGGGCCAAAACAGATTCCGAACACGTGGGCGAGATACAAAAGAAAAAGTTACTGTTCGAGAGTCGTTTTTGGCAGAAAGCTTGAAATTTTTTCCGCGCGAATTGAAACTAGGTGGACCAAAACAAATACCGAACACCGGGGTAGGAAACAAAAGAAAAAGTTATTTCTCGAAGTCGTTTTTGGCAGAAAGCTTGGAAATTTTTCCATGCGAACTGAAACTAGTTGGGCCAAAACAGATACCAAACACCGGGGCGGGAAACACAAGAAAAAGTTACTGCTCAAGAGTTGTTTAAGGAAGCTTGGGAAATATTTTGCGCGAACTGAAACTAGTTGGGTCAAAACAAATACCGAACATCGAGGCGGAAACAAAAGAAAAACTTACTTCTCGAGAGTAGTTTTTGGTATGAAGATTGGAAATTTTTTAGTGTAAATTGAAATTAATTGGGCCAAAATAGATACCGAACGCGGGGCTGAAAACAAAAGAAAAAGTGACAAGTTAATACAAAAGGCAATTTAGGTGTAATTGCATCATTAAATGCTAAAAATTTGCAATAAGGTTTGTTTTTCTTTTCTTTTTACCTTGTCCTTATAGTTTTTGTTCTGTACTGAAAAATACAGCAGGTGTCTGTTCATATATACAACTATGCCGATGAACCAAAACCAAATTTTCCGGCCAATAGCATCGCTTTTCCGGTGAAATTGGCAAATCGCGAAGCTTTCCGTCCAGGTAATGATCGTCGATTTTTCACTCACTTCTGAATTTTATCACCGAACCGGAAATTTTCTGATGTTTTGTATCTAAGGTTGGGATTTTTGTTGTTTAATGTTTCAGATCTGCTAAATGTTGAATAACTGAAGGTAGAATTTGGAGTTTTGAAAAAAAAATTAATGTTACTTTGCGTGAGATTTTGAGATTGCATTTTGTATTAACATATGAAGATGGAGGATAGTGTGAGATCAGGGGGTGGTGTACTGAAGAAGAAAAGCTCTTCTGGTTGTTTAATTATTAAAAGGAAAGATGATAGGTTGGGCATTGGAGGGATCAGTTCTTCAGGGGCTTCACAGAAGGTGAAGAACAGGCCTATGTTTGTAATAAATGAGTATGAGTCGAGTGATGAGATATCAGAGTCAATTCAGCGAAAAAATGGTCAAGTTTTTAGTAATGGTTCTGTTTTTTATGGAAGAAGTGGTGTTAGAGATGGTGAATTTGGTAGAAGTATGAATTTGTCCAATTTTAACAAGCATGAAGAATGTGATACGAAAATGCAATCGAATGTGTATGGTGATGATAGATTTAACATGGTTGAAAGAAGAGGGGGTTCGAGAGAGTTTGGGATTGAGTCTACAAGTGTAATGGTTGAGAAGAGGAAGCTTTCGTATATGGATAGTTCAAGTAGTTTTTCGGGTAGTAGGTCAAAGGGCGATGGCAATGGATTTAAGAGAAGGTATGGTTTATTAGAGGATGGAGTGCATATGCCCATGTCATTGCCAAGAGAAGCCTCTCATGAATCAATCAGATTGCAAGGGAAAAATGGGGTATTGAAGGTTATGGTGAATAAGAAGAAGAAGATCGACTTCAGGCCCAAGGAATATGATCCTGTGGAAATTGAAGGTAGAAAAGGCTCTTGCTCGGCAGATGTTGTCAAGAGGAATTTTCAAGTCCGTCCATCCTTTTACTGGGGTCCTAAACAACCTGAAAAGCAACCTTTGTTGATTCAAACAGAGGGAAATGAGCTGAAACCACAAAAACCTTTGTTGGGTAAAAGCACCCATTTAGTGGCCTCTGAAAAAGATGAGACTGATACGTCACTAAAGTTGGCACCTCCTAGTTTGCAGCCTGCCAGCTCAGCAATACGTGTGCTGAAGGAAGAAAGCAGGCCCTTGCCGTCTGAAGATGTTACCCCTGCTAAAAGAAAAGATGGAAAAGTGAATCGAGGTGGGAGCACTGAGAAGCAGAAGTTGCGAGAACAAATAAGAGGAATGCTCATTGAAGCTGGATGGACCATTGATTATAGACCAAGAAAGAACAGAGAATATCTGGATGCAGTGTACATTAATCCTAGTGGAACAGCCTATTGGTCAATAATTAAGGCCTATGAAGCATTTCAAAAACGATCGGAGGTAGATTCAGGTAAAAGCAAACCTGATGGCAGCTCTTGTTCATTTGCTCCAATATCAGAAGATTTAATTAATAAACTTACCAGGCAAACACGGAAAAAAATTGAGAAAGAAATGAAAAAGAAAAGAAAAGATGATGACCAGAGACAAGATCCTAAACAGACTTTTGTGAGGGAGTCTGTGTTGGGCATATGCAGTGATCAGCGCGAGAAGAAGTTCAATAGCTATATAATGAAGACAGATAAGTTGCTGCAAGGAAAATTACATGCATCAGACCAGGAGAGTGGGGATAATTCAAGTGATAACTCATTGCAGGCAAGGAAACTTAAACAGGATATGGCTGGAAAAGCATCTGTTGGAGTTGCTTCTAATTCAATACATGGAAGAAAAAGTAAATTAATTGGACGATGTACATTGCTGGCCCGTCATTCTGACAAGGGGGAAAATTCAGATAGTGATGGATATGTTCCATATACTGGAAAAAGAACCTTATTGTCCTGGTTGATTGACTCCGGAATATTGAAGTTGAGACAGAAGATTCAATATGTGAACCGTAGAAGGACAACAGTAAAACTAGAAGGTTGGATCACACAAGATGGTGTCCACTGTGGTTGCTGTAGTAAAATCCTTCCAGTTTCAAGATTTGAGCTCCATGCAGGAAGTAAACGGCATCAACCATTTCAAAACATAGTTTTAGAGTCTGGAGCTTCCTTACTAGAGTGCTTGGTTGACGCATGGAATCAGCAAAAAGAGTCTGATCGCCAGAATTTCTACAATATAGACATTGATGGTGATGATGGTGAAGATGATGTTTGTGGTATTTGTGGTGATGGTGGTGACCTTATCTGTTGTGATGGTTGCCCATCAACTTTTCATCAGAGCTGTCTAGGAATACAAGTATGTATCCATCAGAATATGCTCTCTTTACCTCACTGCATTTCATATGTATCATTGTTGCTCTGTATTATCAATTTATCAGGGCTGGAGCCACTGTTATAGTTTCGGGTTCAACCAGTAGTGTTGGCCCAAAACCTGTGTTTGTATAAAAATTCATTTAATATGTATAGATAATCTATCTAGAACCCAGTTTGCAAAAAACATTGTGGTGCAGTTCTCATAAACTAAAAATCTTAGACCCGTCTCTGGATATCGTCATAGTTCTCCACACACTTCATCTTTCCTTTGTGTGACGTTAATTATTGTAACTTTTGTACTGATATTTACCAAAATGAAATTTTAAGCATGTGAATTGACTTATACATATACATAACTTTGGAACTTTGTATCAGAAGAACTTTTGAATTTGATCAATGAGGCAAAGCAGGAGAGAAAAAGAAATCAGAGGTGGAAAGGGGTTCTTTTTTAATTTCCGTTTATTATCTCTGTCCTAGGGTAAAAATAACAAAAACTGGTAAGAACTTCTTAGTTTTGAATACCCAAGGGTGTGGCCTAGTGGTCAATGAAATGGGTTGAGAACTATGGTCTATGAGGTCTCAGCCTCCCAGGTTCAAATCTCATTAGAGACAAAATAAATTAGGTGATTTTTCTCCATCTGTCCTAGTCTTGGTGAACAGAGTTACCTGGTACTTGTAGTGGGTGGGAGGTGACAAGTGTATCATGGAATTAGCCGAGGTGTGCACAAGTTGGCTCAGACACCCTAGTTATTATAAAAAAAAAAGAACTTCTTAGTTCTGATGCAAGTCTTCAGGTGAATCCATTCCTTTGCTTTTTCTAGATTTCTCTGGAGTAGGTCTGCACTATCCTTCTTAGCATTATATTGTCTTCATTGTCCATTTGTGGGATTATACTGGGTATGTTGTCGTTGTTATACTGTCCATTTATAGTTAATCAATAAACCTGCTGCTTCCACCCCATATGGACTCCTTAAGGGAGACTATAGAAAGGGGCCAAGTTATCTGATAAGAATCAGGTTACTTAAATAAAACCAAGAAAATAATGCGGAAGATATGTGAAATTTGAGAATGAAATCCTCAAATTTTGAAATTAAGTGCCAAGAACCCTTATTGATCTTAGCATTCAAATTTCAAACATTATCGAATTAAAACTAATTATGATACTAATAGGGTCAATTTAAGAACTTAAATCTAAAGGTAATCTAGACCCCTATTTTCTAAGAAATTAGAGACAATAATTGGTATAAAACTAATTACCATCTATAATTACAAATAAGAACATAGATATCAAGCTAAAGAATTAATCTTACCTCATAAATAATTGTTTTTATAAGGTTGTAAGATAAATCCCAAGTAGCCACACAGAAAGGTGTAAAGATGAGAAACTCTCAGTTAATAATAGTTGTGTCTAAAATAACAAATTCATCCCTATATATATAGGGGAATACTATCCCAATTAGCATGAGATTTGAATCCTACTTTTATGAAAATAATAATTAATAAAACCTAACTAGGAAACTATAAAAATAATATCTAAATTCCTATCCTAAGAAAATATGGAAAAGTTGCCAAAAAGGTCACCACCAAAATAGTCACTTGCATGTGACTTTTTCCACCCAACTTGTGTGAGAATTTAAATTCTCCTTTGGGCAGAAATTTCAGCCCCTTTTGGGCCGCAATCTTCTTCCATTTGGGTTTGGACTTTTTTTTTTTTTGACATAGGTAACTGTTTCTATTTCTGTAACACAGTACATCCCATGTACTGAAACCATATTTCAAAAGATTTCAGAATCTACAATCCTATCCTTATAATGAGTCTAATACATCAATGATAGAGACAATATCATTAGAGTATATCTGGTTACACCAAATACATAAAGTCAAAATATAATTCATTTTGACTTGTTGTATGTATGCTCTGTATTATCAAAAACTCTAAGGTTCCTCTCCTTCCATGTTGTCCACCATATAGCTGTAGGTACAATTCTCCAGTTGTTTCTGTTCTTAGCATGTACTCCTGCTTCTTCCCAACTATGTAATGCTTCTGTGATTTTCCTTGGCATGGACCAAGATATGTTTTTGAGATATAGGAATAATCTCCAGAGTTGACTTGTAACCTTGCAATGTATAAATAGATGGACCACTATTTCTGCAGTTTCCCCACCGAAAAAGCATCTGGAACATAAAGGGATCCCCTTTTTCATCAAGTTATCTTGTGTCAGCACTACTTCCTTAGCCAATAACCAGGCAAAGCAGGCTACTTTGTGTGGGATTCTGGCTTTCCAAATGTGTTCCCAAGGCCATCGGAGTATCTGCTGGTTTGGTTGGTTCATCTTCCTATAGGCTGCATTTACTTTAAACTTTAACCATAAAATGTGTAGCACCTGGCCAATTCTTCTCCACAATTCTTGTACTACTTCTTGGGCTCTTCTTCCATAATAAACAACTTCTTGCTTTCCCACTGAAGCCCAATAATCTTGGCTTGCAACTCCTTAGCTTGAGACCTTGACGATGTCTTCTTAGGGCTTCTATAGCATCATCCTTGCCTTGATCTTCGGTGTAAACTCTGTCAGCTGACCATCTTCTGACCAAAACTCTTCAGTTAAATTGATCATTGAACTTTTCTATAGATTAACCGTATTCCCGTCCCTCCATCTAATGAACTGTTTAAAATTGTTCATTGTGTCAACCACAATATGGAAGACAAAAGTCCATTACAATTACCATGTTAATGAACATTTTTTTTTTGAGATTGGTAACTGTTTCTATTTCTTTAAATCAGTACATGGGTTGTACTGAAACCATATTTACATAGTGAACTCTAAAGGCACTGTCCTATCCCTATAATGAGTCCAACACATCATTGATAGAGACAGTGTCATTAGAGTAGATCTGATTACACCAAAAACACAAAGTTAGAATACAATTCAATTTTACTTGCTACATATTACTCTCCCTATTTTCAAAAACTCTAAGATTTCTCTCTTTCCAGACAGTCCACCAAATAGTAGCAGGAATGATTCTCCAGTTGCTTCTGTTCTTTGCTTGTAATCCTGCTTCTTCCCAACTGTATAAGGCCTCTGCAATTCTACCAGGCATGACCCATGAGATGTTTTTGCGCCTTAGGAATAGACTCCACAATTGGCCAGTGACCTTGCACTGGATGAACAAGTGATTGACTGTTTCTGCAGTTTCCCCACAAAAAAAACAAAACAGGCCACTTTGTGTGGGATCTTGGCCTTCCAAATGTGTTTCCAGGGCCATTTGGATGCCTGCATAATTGGGTGGTTCAACTTCCTATATGCTGCACTTACTTTAAAAGTCCCAGTGCTGTTCCCCAACCACTGCAATCTGTCTTTTCCCGTCTCCAAGCCACTAAATTGTTCAATGACGCTGAAGAATTCTGTAACTCTTGGAATTTCCCAATCATTGAGGTGCCTTCTAAATATAGTATTCCACCCATGAGGTGTCCATAGTTCAGCTATTGTATTTTGTTGCTGAAGAACCAGAGTATGTATGTCCGGGAAAAGTGTCTCCAGATTTCCTGCTTCATGCCAATCCTCCTTCCAGAATCTAGTTTTAGCACCATCTACCACTTTAATCTTGGTGTTTGGTTTGAATTCATCCCATAGTGATCGGATGGATTTCTATAAACTAACACCATAGGGAGTGGTAACTTCCTTTGTCATCCAATTGTCACTTTCTTCATATTTTGCTTTTATGACTGAGCCCCATAATTCTGATCATCGTTGGAATACCTCCAAAAGCCACTTCATTCTCAAAGCATTGCTTTGATTCTTAAGGTTCTTGATCCCTAAACCCCCAACTCTCTTATCATTGATCACTTTTTTCCATTTGACTAAGTGGTACCCCTTCCTTTCCTTGTTTCCTTGCCACAAAAACTTTCTCCTGATGCTATCCAACCTATTAATGACACCTGGAGGAATAGGAAATAAAGACATTATTTTTAGGACTTTATTTACTTGCCAAAAATAATTACTAGGACGATATTTTCTTAGGGAAGTTCCATCTCTATCCAGACATATCAAAGAATTCAACACATGAGCTTAAAGTAATTTACTTATATCATGTTTGTGAATCTGATGACAGATGAGCTTTTTCTCTTACTCTTTATTATCATGCTTTCCAATATGAACCTATAACATAATTTTCATTAAGCAGCAAGGCATTTACATACTTCCTCTTCCTCTTGGTGCAGATACTTCCTACAGGCCTTTGGCATTGTCCAAATTGCACTTGCAAATTTTGTGGGGCTGCTAGTAGAAACCCTGCTGAGGATAGTGAGACAGTAGTCTACAAATTTCTTTCTTGCTGCCTCTGTGAGAAAAAATGTAAAGTATACTTCTCTGGAAGTTTTTGTACATTAACTGGTCTACATTGGAGCTGGATTCTTAGATTTCTCTTTGCAGATCATAAATCATGCAGTTTGGAGATGAATGCTTTACCTGCTATTTCCAATAATCCATCTGGTACATTTTGTGGGAAGAAATGCCAGGAGGTAGTCTCTTATTCTGGTTGTGAGTTCTTTTTCTTTATGGTCTATAACATATTAAGATCATGAAGCAGAGGTATCAATTAGTGGAAATTATTTGAGAAATAGTGTGCAGTCAGCCCGTCACTATTAGTAACTCTACTTTTAAAGTATGTTCCACTTTTTATCCCAGAGGACTCAGCATAAGCTCCTATGCACTATTTTCACTATCATTCACAGGTACAAAACTGTTGAAAAGAGATGGTAGAAAAAAAACATTTTCTTGTACTTGTCAGAGGATTTACTTTGAATGGCCAAATCTTCTCTCCTCCTCCTTGAATACCTGCTTGAATGTGTAACATGATTCATCTTCTTTGGCATCTTTCTGTTTCTCCAGTGATTAGTGCACTTTAATCAATTTTAGAAATTGAGAGCTTAACAAGAAATTCAAGAGAAACAAAAGGAAGTGAAGGTAAGATGCTTTCTTGTGGAGTCTAGACTTTTAGGTGATTGACATAATTCGACCTGTTGCTGCATAAGTAGAAATGTATAAAATGGAGCCATTTGCAACTTATCAATTGAATATGAGCTCAAGGAGTTTAAGTCTACCCTCCTCTTGACTTCTTGTACTTAGATTTCTTGCTGGTTTCTAAAACATCCTGCAACTGTAGGCATTGAGGATTAAATGCGAGAAGGTTGCTTGAGATGGTTCGGACATGTTCTGCGTTGACGTATAGATACACCGGTCCATAGGTGTGAAACTATGGTAAGCAAAGGCGTTAAAAGGGGATGGGGTAGACCTAAAATCACATGGAAGGAAGTGGCATCAAAAGACCTTCAAATGTTTGGTATCAATGCAGACCTAGCTAGAGATAGGGCACAATAGAAGAAAAAGATCCATATAGGTGATAACTACTAGTTGAGGATAAATTTTAGACTCGTATGGAACTTTTATATTATTATTAGTATTTTTTTATTTATTTTTTGATAACCAAGAAATCCGTATGTGACCCGCCCTTTGGACCAATCACAACCTTTTAAACTCGGTGGATAATGGGTCCGCCCCTCTACCCTTCTCCACTTAAATACCAGGCTTCGCTTTGCATGGTGTGGGGCTTGAACCTGCGACCTAAGCCACAAATCCTCCACCTTTTGCCACTTGAGCTAGGCCTTGGGGGCATTAGTAGTATTTTATATATTGCCGATTAATATTTTTCAGTTTTATTTTATTTTATTTGTTATGATGATGATATGATATGAGCTTAAATGAAGAAATGAGTATTCATATAGCCGACCCTAACTTGTTTGGGATTGAGGTGTTGGTTTTTTTTTTTAAAGTAGCCGTAGTAGTAGTTGTTGTTGTTGTTGTTGTTTCCTCATAGTGATCTGAGAAGTGTGAATTTTCCTTGATAGTTTGTGTTCCCCAAATTTCTAATGCTATATTACATCTGATACTTCCCCTATCTTAAATGGCTGTCTTATAAAAATAAATGATATCTGTCTTAGGATTCTGAATATATTCATCATCATTCTAATAGTTACAACATGTAGTGTCTAAACCATCTGTATTTTATTTTCAGAAAATCAAATATATCTGTTTGATCTTTTTCCAAAACTAAGTTAACTGACTGTTGCATCGAAATAGTATAATCAAATTCTGATAGAAGGATTTACAGTTTAAGATGAAATCTTGGCAACTTTGTCATTTACTTTTTTTTCATGCAATTATGGTGAAAGACTGTTTTCTATATATGCGCTTCTCTTTTTTTCCTTTTTTTTTTTTTTTTCGCTTTTCATTGTCTGCCTCATATCAGAGTTGGGATCTCCCATGGGATTTGTATTTTAATGTCTTTTCTTATTGGTCTTCTCTTGTTATGCAGCTGTATGACCATTTACAGAATATTCTTGGTGTCAAGCATGAACTTGAAGCAGGATTCTCATGGTCCCTGATTCAACGAACAGATTTGGACTCAGATACTTCTCATTGCCCCTTTCCTCAACAGGTGGAGTGCAATTCTAAGCTAGCTGTTGCACTGGCTGTTATGGATGAATGTTTCGTGCCCATTGTCGACAGGAGAAGTGGGATAAATATTATTCACAATGTTCTCTACAACACTGGGTATGCAGTTTTTGTAGTTCTGTCTAGTGTTTTAAAATTGCCTGATATAAACTTTATGGATGCTCATTATTTGTTTAACCTGAGAAGGAGAGCTGACTGACTGATTTGATTTGGCCATTTTGGTTTTCACATATGATCTTTCATACTTTATTTTGTTGTGAGTGCAGTTTCTACATTGGGTCCATGAAAGCAACATATATAACTTTATATATATATATATATATGTTTTTGAAAAGTCAAAGCATAGAATTTTGGTTTATGTTTTCAGATAGGCTATTCAATCTTTTTAGAAATTTGCAATTGTACCTTTTTCTCTTGATGCCTCAAGATAATGAGTTTCATCCTTACTAGACGCATCATTCATCTTTCATTTTCACGTCTAAGTTTGTATGGCCGACTGCTAGGACGACGCAGTGCAGAGCATTTTGATTGAGAAGGGAGGCTTGCACTGTTAATAATTGAACATCCTTTGATCTAGGTTGGTGCTCAGAGGAATAAACAACAACATACCCAGTGTGATCATAAGATGCTCAGAGGAATAAAGAAGAGAATTGTGGCATTTTAGGATTATTTTTCTGTTCTTTAATATTTTTCTTCGTCCTTTCTATTTCTCCTCAACTTCATGGAGGAAACAGTGCATTCTATTCATTCGTCATCTTGCCCATGTACACTTCCTTGAAACACAGTGATCCTCCTAAAATAATGTTTTTAAAATAAATCATATATCTTTTCCCTCCCACTGTCTTTTGCTTCTTTCCTTCATCTGAATTTGGTTTTCATTACTGAGTCGTAATCTGAAATTGTTCTCTTTCCTCTGAAGCTCAAATTTAAGTCGGCTGAATTTTTGTGGCTTCTACACTGCAATTCTGGAAAGGGGTGATGACATAATATCTGCTGCATCTATACGGTAGGATGGATTGCTCAAATTGTTAATATGTTACTATGCGAGTTTGTTTTTCAAATCTGAAGAGGTTGGGCACAAGATATTATGGTGTGTTGTTTTAAAACTAAATAATTTTAGATTTCTTGCAGATGCAATGGTATTCCTTGCATACATGATTATGATCTTTGATAAAATTTCATTGTTTTTTTAGCACATGCACTGATTAACTGAACCTGTCTCATCCAACAAAGCATCCTTTATTGGAGTTGGACTGTATCTGTCTCATCTTTTTTTTTTAGGTGTAGCTATTGGCTTCAGATTACTGGCTGAAGGAAATTCCTTTTTGGTGTCGTAACCTTATGAGTGCTATCTACTATCTAGAATGATGATTGCATGTTTTTTTACAAGTAAAACTCCTAGCTGTTTAAGGGTACATTTTAAAGAGTTTCTTTTGGTTAACTTTTTATTCCCGACCTTAGCATTCATGTAGAAATGTAGCGGAACTCTTCTAGTCATCAGTTTCTCAGTTTTACTTAATTGTTAAAACTTGCTTTCCCTTTTTCTTAAGCGTCATCTGTGCTTGTGCAGTGTTTATTCATGCCTTACCAATCAGTAAATAGTGTTTTAACTGGTTGTCTGTTAGGATCCGTGGAACTCAACTTGCAGAAATGCCATTCATTGGGACCAGGAATATATATAGGCAGCAAGGGATGTGTCGTCGACTATTTGATGCTATTGAGACAGTACGCAAATTACTATTGCTAATTATACTTTCTTTATTATTGTATTTCTTTCTGCAATTTGTATGCATATAATTTTTTCGAAGGGTAGCATATCAGACCCACTGCTGACGTTTCCCATGTTCCTTTATGTGCATGCTACTCCTATAGTAAATTGTTTTGGTAATTCATATAAATGAATATATCGGAGAGGGGAGTATCCAAATTTCTTTTCAGGGCTGGCAGTTTCACTCTTCCGAACTAACATATTGACAATTGATTCATCCTTACTAAAGTAGCACAAAACTTATCAAAGCCTACACCTATATTTTGGAACATTGTCTGCAAGAAATATGTCAAAGAATGTGGCTTTAGAGAAGTGTAAAATGGTGTAGGACAAAAGCTGTCTCAATTGTATTCACTTGTAGTATTTAGAATTATTAGAAGATCTTTTAAGTTTTTAGCCGAAAGCACATATATTTAGCTTTACTGAACAGTTATATTGTCAACTTGAGTAACAGTAATATCGTTGTGAAACAAGAAATTCCAATGATATAGCTTAGGTCGTTGTCATCTTGTTTTCATTTCCCACTATGAGGTTTAATGTTGTCCAACCTCATAAGGTTTATTTTTTATGAATGCCACAAAGGTTATGTGAATGCCATGTCTGTTCTAATTGTCCTGTGCATCTGTGCAAAATTTGTTCAGAAAATGCCGACAGCATGTTCATCACCTGCATTGATTATGTTTTGTATATACCGTTTATTATTAGACCAATGGTTTTTACATCTTCCATCCAGGTCCTCTCCACTTTAAAAGTTGAGAAGTTAATCATTCCTGCTATATCTGAGCATCTGCATACCTGGGCCAAGGTTTTTGGATTCGATGAACTTGAGGAATCAAACAAGCAAGAAATGAAATCCATCAGTATGTTGGTGTTTCCTGGTACAAACATGTTACAAAAGAAGATACTGAAGAAAGATGTGCAAGAGGGTAATAGGATAATTATATATTCCTGTTTCCTCTTTGTTTTTCTGTAACATTTTTCTTTTTTAGCTAAGAATATCTTTTCAATCGGTATTTGTGACTTGGACTTGTACTGCATTTTCTGCAGCTTGTGTGTTACAGCAAAGTCATCCTCCATCGCCTGTTTTGGTTGAAAAAACGGATCAGGAATCATCTCTCAGGCGTGCCGGACATCTGCATGATGGCGTATGTGTGAACATCGTCGAAAAACCTGATGACAGGTTTGGTCCAATGGATTCTGACTCTCCAGTTTCTGCCGTTCAGTTAAGTGATAGCACTGTGGTTAGAGCACAAGGTGGTTGTTGCAAGTCAGACACCCAAGTTTCCAGTAAGGAGGTGGAGAAGAATTTTGTTGAATCAGCCACAAAGTGGATGCTCTCTTCTCCTCCATCTGGCGCAAGTGACGGCAGGCCTGATACTGAAGATGCAGCACTAGGTCCTGCAAACATTCTCAACTCTGGTATAGAGCCTATCAATGTAAAAGTTTAGAAAGAAAATGCACTTGTTATAAGTTATAGCACCCTGGTCTTGATTCATTAGCTGAAGTTTCTTCTGGGAACATGTCGGCAGAAAAATAGCTTGAAGATGCTTCTGATAGTTCTGTCCACTAATAACAATCGGAAAGATATTTGGGTGGTTTCTGTAGATAGCTGTTTTCTAGACCCTGCTGTCCAAAGTGCTTGAAAAGAAGTCAGCAGCAATAGACATGGTTTAACATATACCTTGACCCCTTGTGGAATTGGCAAGGCCCTTACAGTCTCACTCAGTGTAATTAACCAAAGCATATATGATGTGGTAATGAGCTACATGTGGCTCCAAAACAAGCTTCCGATTCTAAATGCACTGGTGATGCAATTTATGAATGAGGGCAATTTGGATTCCTCTGCAGTTTATGATGGAAGTAATGTTAGAATTAGTGCCGAAGTTTCTTTTCATAAAGCTGCAATTCATTCATCAAATGAGACTTCTTGATGTGGTTAGGCAAAAATCATTGAAGTAAATGTGATCTGTTTCTTGTTCTGCTGATGCTTCTGCACAACTTGGTGGTGATGAAAAGATTGAGAAATATGCTTTTGTTAGTGTTCTAATCCTACTAGTTATGTTGTTTGGAGCTGTTTGGGTTGGTTTTCTGTTGAACTGATTCTTGATGCTTCCTTCAGATCTTTGTCTCAATTGTGCAAGAGGCTGTTTGTAGCCGGGTAGACAAAAATTACTCCGCAATGGTATTGGTCTAAATTATATGCTTGTTTCCATGTGATCTAGATCTAGGTGGAAGTTGAAATCAAGTTGGAAGGCTATTGCAGCTTTTGAGTAGGTGCATTGAGCAACACAGTGGTGGCGTATGTGATGGCGTGAATGAGAAATGAATTCAATTATTTTGTTGGAACATGTTTAACAGCGCTAATGTTTCTTGTGTTGCCGTCTAGACAGATTATTACTTATACTATAGTTAGTCAGAAGATGCTTGGGTGAAATTTTTGGAGAACTCTGCTGACTTTATCGGTAAATGTTATTCAAGGTCCATGAGATCTTTGAAATTCATTATTTCATCCACATCTGGTTCAATTTTCGTTTCTCTTGGAATGCCTTTTTCTGATGATATGAAGCAGAAAAAACTAGTGTATAAAGTATTCATTACCTAAAATTGTTAAAAGGATGTGGATGTTGAAATCTTTTATTTAAAGATTATTTGTTGGCATTGCCCAAAACATTCTCATTCATATAAAATTTCTCTTGTTTTCATTTTACATTGGCTTTGTCTTCACAGTGTTTTCTCCGAAACAATTTCTCTCAAATAATTTTTTATTTTTAAAGGCAATCTAATGCGCAAAACATTTTGTGTTTATGCAACTCCTGGAGACCACTTAAGGGATTGTTTTCATTGCTCAAACTTGTGATCCATAGGTCCTTGTGATCAATTTTGTCATTGCTTCAAGACTTCTCTTATTTTATACCTAATTACATTATTTTACAGTCACACTAATGTAACAAATTCGCCGCTCATTGGAACTCATACTTCAAGGCGGTGAATGTGATGACTTAGCCAATTATAAGTGTTCTTGGGGTCAAAGGTGTTAAGTCATAATCCAACACACGATAGATTAGCGTTATTGGTTTTTCAACCAAGCACGATGACCAATTGTGTAATCAACGGTTCTCTTGTACTAGGTTGAATTATTATCAATTGGGTTAACCCAATTTACGTTTTAGATCACAAGTCTCAAAAATAGTTTTTCATTAACGCGATTTAAAAAAAAAAAAAAAAAAACAATGATGTGTACCAAATTGAGTTGTAGCAAAAGTTTGAGGGTCAATTTATAATTGTATATACATATACTTTCACTCAAAAATAGGACTTTACATAACCTCCCACAGCAAGAGCTAGAAACTGGGCTATCTTTCTCTTTTTTATCCCAAATTATTCACTTTATATTTGCTCAAGATGTTGATAATCTGTGCAATTCAGTATTTGTTGAACCCCACAAGTATTTTGTGTTCAAATATGTAAGAAACTCAATCCAGGCCATAGTAATCATTGCCTACCAACTGTTTGCTAAATTGTCTCAAAGAAGTTTGAAGCCAGGACATTGATTTTCATCATCAGTCATTTTCATTTTTAACCCTTTTATGCTGTGTGGACTGATTCAAGATTTAGTTTTTATGGGTTCCTACAACGACCTCAAGTTAATACTAAGTTCACCCTTGGTGTAGAGTTGTTACTGTTTGGATTCTTCGATGTCGTTCGTGTTCTTGAGAAGACAACTAATTAACTTGCCTTGTATACTCAATTCCCAATGTAACTTAAGAATATGTTCATATTCCTCAAGACCCACAAGAGCTAGTCAAGCAAATGATTTGTTCGTGGAAGATAGTAAACCACGTCCTGTTGCTGCAGATTTTGGTGGTGGGGTTTTTCATCTTTCGCCATTGTATAGGGATGAGAAATATTCGTTGAAAGATTGCAGGATTGAACTAGTGGATAATGAGACTTGGAGTGTGTCCTCTGGCTTAGTTGAAGTGTGGAGAGGAAATACAAATGTTGCGTCGAAGAAAAATCCTTCATTTAGTCAAGAGGACGAGATCGATGATGGGGTGGACAATTATTATGATGAAGATCCTGATTATGACGATATTGAGGATTTGAGGATACGCGGTAATTTGTTTTACAAGCTTGATAAAGATTCCAAGGAATATGAGGAATATAAGTTTGATTTCCATAGAAGGAATAAGAACAAGAATAATGGAAATGACTGTCCCAAAGAGAAGGAAAAATCAAGTAACGTTTCAGCTTCTGGGGTCGAGAAAAGCCTAAAGGGTATAGATGAGAAGAAGCAAAGTAAGAAGGACAAACTGCTCTGTAACTCTGACTTTGCAGTGGACAGAATGATGCTAGATGATACGAATAGCCTTCAGGATTTTCAGCTAAAGAGGTCAAGAGTTCCAACTTTTAATCAGCTTACTGCCCCTTATCATGAGCCGTTTTGTTTGGATATTTTTGTCTCGAAAGGTTCGGTCAGTGCTAGCATCATCCATAGAGCTACTAGCAAGGTCGTTGCTGTGGCACATTCTATTTCCAAGGACATGAAATTTGACTTGGGATCGACAAAGAATAGAGCTACTTGTGCTGCTGTTGGGGAAGTTCTGGCTCAAAGAGCCTTGGCTGATGATATTCATAATGTAATTTATACGCCAAGGACGAGGGAGAAATTGGAGGGGAAACTTGAGATTGTTCTTCAGTCCATTATTAACAATGGCATCAATGTGAAGGTAAAGATTAAGCAGAGGAAAACCAAGAAACATGGCTTCCACCGCCCAACAGCTTAGGTGGTCATCCTATATTACTATTCATCAAGGCAAGAATGTTGTATGTATCATCCTCATGGCTTTCGGTGAAACTTGATTTAGGAAAGTGAATCAGGTCTTTTGCTATAGAAAGTTGCTTAATCGGCACACTGACAAGGAGTGGAATCATGCATGATTCAATAGTCTGGTACTAGTATTTTGACAAATGCGGATGAAATTAAAAGTGACAAGTTTTATCAATCCTGACAGGCTTGCAAACAGAGCAGTGCAGTAACTGGAACAAGGTTAGAAGTGCATTACCCTTTTTGCAAGATTGCAGAACATTTCCCTAAATAGTAAATCCATTGTTAAATCGTTGGAGAAGTTACAATAGTAGTTACAAACTTAGGAATAATTCTTTTATTTCCTGCATTTTGTATTCTTTTCGTGAGAAAACATTGCTGTTAATGTAGAAATCTGGTTTACATGATAGCTTTATTTGTAATTAGTATGATAAATCGTCCAAAATATTTGGCAATTTCTAAATAGACAGTCTGAGACCTTAGCACACCTTTTATCTATATAGGATCAACAAAACTTTTGTTGATCTATTTATTTGTTCAAATGCCTTATGCAGAGATGAATTAGTATATTTGTGTTTGATTTCATGCTCCTGAAGATAGGAATCAAGGTGAGCTGCTGTGTGCTCATACTTCGCTACAGAATGGGGTGTCCAAAAGAAAATACTGGCATATAATCATTAGTTGAAATGGCTTATGAGCAAAACAATTTATAGCAATAAACCACACATACTTTTGCATTGAATTGCTCAAGAAGTAGAACATCTTGTATCAGTTTTACATCAGTCAAAAATGGAATAACAAAAATAGGGTCGTCGTCGTCTTCATGTTCAATCATCGGCAGTTGCGAGTTGCAGAGACAAAAGCTCTTCTTCTGGTATGACTCTAATATGGCAATCTGATCTTGGATAAGCTGCACATAGTAATGCATAACCTCTCTCCACAACATCATCACTTAGCATACCTTCACTTTGATCCACATTCCCACTTAGAAGCTTTGCTGGACAAGTCATGCACACTCCTAGCTTGCAGTCGTACGGTACGGACATGCCAACGTCAAGTGCCTTCGACAAGATTGTCTCATCAGGTTCAACTTCCAACTCTGTAGTTTTACCTTCATGTTCTACTATTACTTTATAAGCTCGAACTACACTCGATACTCGACAGTTTTCTGTTCTCCTGACTGACCAGGGATTGTTTAGCTTAATAGCAGCAAGATTGCCTTGTTTTCTTGATGGAATGAGAGTGAAAGATGGAGAGGTTGTTAATTGAATTGTTGCCATGGTGAGTGAGGAAAATGTAAGAGTTAAGGTTTTGTTGCTGTGGATAAGATGTGTTGATGAGAAGATAAGGTTCTTTTGGGAATTAATTGGTGGAATTTTGGGCTGTGTTTGTCTGTGTTTTTTTGTTACTATAAGTTGTGGAAATTTGGGCTGTGTTTTGTTGGCCTTTTACCAATTTGGGCTTTAGTATTGGTCTGCTTATTGCCTTTAGGAAATTATCTTTACAAACAAGTTAGACTCGGGTCAAACATTTGCTCATATGTTCAATCTTACCGACAAAATATTAGACTGTAATCTCGATGTCTATTCCTAGCTAATCAAGAAAGGGTTGTCCTCCCTCTCAATCAATGCTGTTCTCCCTCTATTTCCTTCTTCCGGTGGTTGAGCGAGTCCGTTCTTCGTCCTTTTCAGACGTCTAGTTTGTAATAACTTACAAAAGTTTTAGATTGTGGTCTAACGTTTTCTCATAAGATTTTTAATTTCTTCAAAATAGATCTTTATATCATAGTCTAAAAGGTCTATAAGTTGGATGAGAAATTTAAAAAATGATAATTTACTAAACATCATGGCAAAAAATTCACCTTGGAATTTCCTTTGATTTAAGTTTTGAATAATTTTGTACATGGTTTTGTAAACATGTTCTGGATCTGCTTATTTGATAATGTATTTTTTTATTATAAGGATGAAATAGAATTTTAAACATAATTATTTTCAAATATAGAAATATATCATTTCGTCCCTAAGATTTAGAAACTAAAAAGAAAATAATATCAATATATGGGGAGACCTAGCTTATACTCTTGTCTCAACTATTGTACAAGAACAAGCGTGATATTTCGGCGGCGTACCAAAACATCCTTCCCTCCGTACCCTCCACGACCGTTCACACCTTTCGGCACCGTCACGATTAGCTCCCCGTCCGCAAACACAGCCGTAGCCAGCTCCGGTTTTGCGGACGTGGGTAACCTAAATCTCCACGTGTCCACATTCAATTGGTCCAACATCAGTAGCTCCGCTTCACCACCATCACCACTACCATTTCTCACTACTATCTTCGTAATCCCTGGATGAATCTCCACTGTTTGCGCCCTCACATTACGAATATTTTCACCATGCTGCTCGATTTTCGCCATGAAGCGGAAGAATTCGAGGTTTTCTTCCACCTCGACATCCGCGTTGGACGGGATCGGTAATTCGAGGACTTTGCTGAACACGTGAGGCAGCTTCCTGAGTTTTTTTATGCTGTTTGGTGCCATTACTACTATTGTTGATCAGCAAGATTGAGTACAAGAAGAAAAAGAAGTAATTGGAATTAATGGTAACGTTTTGTTGCATGGACAAAAAAAGATGGACCCTCGTGCACTACTTGTAGGTTACAAGAGAATATTTTGTTTTTTTTTTGAAATTATTCGATATTTAAAGCTAACTGATTGAATTAATTCAGATTCTCCTCGGATAGTCTCTCCAAGTGAGTAAATTGTTGCCTACCAAATATTATTTCCATTTCAATTCAAATCACAAGTTTTAAAAGTTTTTTTTTTTAAACATCGTGTCTGATTAAATAACGTCATGAAATAAGATAATAGGCTACAAATGACCTCATGAGAACCATTCGATATTCAAAAGCATATTAGCCAGATTAATCCAGATTCTTTCCGAGTAGATCTACTAAAGGGTAAATATTATTTTACCACATAATTCTTTCTTGAGTAGATCTACTAAGGGTAAATATTATTATGCCATATAATTTTTTATTTCAACGATTCGATTTAGACACTTGTAATTAAAGATATAAAAGTTGTAATCATCTTACCACACTAGATGGAAACGACATAATGAGAATAAAGTGACACGAATCTAAATCTTGATAAAATGGAATCATTTTAGTGAATGAATGGCAGGAATTGTATGTTTATTATTCCTTTTAGAAAAACAACCGTTTAAATTTAAAAATAATTCAACTTAAACTTTATTTATCATTAATTGAAAGAAATTTTGTAGCCACATAAATATTCAATGTTTTGTATTTTTCGAAACAACCTAGTAAAGGTGCTCCTGAGTCAAGAGATTATTCCCCCTAAGTAGAATTCTTGTAAGTCTCTGAAACGATACTCGTTGCCTATATAGGTTTGATTTCACTTTTTTGGTGTCACAAAATAAGAATCCAAGATTATCAAAGCTTTTCATGAGTATTAGTCCATGAATTTTACTACTATTAATATGACTTACCGACTTTGTTTTAGCCCAAATGTTTATAGGTCAATTCGAAACAATCTAGCTAACGATACTCATAGCCTCTATAGGGTCTACGTCACTTTATTAGAGTTTCGGGGTTACGACAAAGTAATTCAAGATTATATGCATTAATTCATGAATTTTTCGGAATATGATTGACAGACTCCATTTGTCCTCAAATTTTATGCTTCCATTTGAAACGACCTAGGAAACGATATTCATTACCTCTAGAGGGTCAATAGTGCTTTTTTTGTTGAGTTTCAGGGTCACAAAACTAGATTTTTGTATGTATTAGTCCATATGACAGACCGACTCTGTTTGACCCCAAATTTTATTAGTCCATTTGAAATGAAATGGTGTCGTTATGATCTTTTTAACCGACTAAAAGAAAGTGTCTCGTATAAATTGGGACAACGAGAATCTTTTTATTTGTTTTCAAATCAAATTCTGTTTAGCAATTTGTAACCAACTAATACATTCAAAGACACATTTTGCAGAGGAACTAAAGAACATAAAAATACAATAACCACTCTGTCTCTCCAGGAAAATTGACTCATGCTATGAATGCTGAAGCATAAGAACTAATGAATAGAAGGAAGAAGAAAGGAAGATGAATCATCTTGGGTAAACTTGCATCATTGGAACCACCTCGTGACGATGGGGTAGATCCACTTCCTGTCACGCGATATGTTATGTAAGTTTATAAGCATTTCAAGTTGATACAGACTATGTTGCTCAGACTCTTCAAAAATGTTGTCCTACCAGGGTTGGATCTTAAACAAATGCACTACTTTTTGATGATTCACGACAACATTTTTTAAGAGTCCGACCAACATAAAACTCAAATTTGATCAAGTTTGAAAGGATTATAATGTACCTGAAGCTTCTGTATTTGGAGAACGTGGTGTTCCAGCAGGAGAACTAGTTGGGGATCCGGCTGTTATAGGCAAGTAGTGTCAATGAACAATCAAATTCACAAGATGTAAAATTTTTGTGGTCGTACTTTTTCTTAGTCTGTTTCAAAAAGAATGTCTCGTTTCTATGTTTAGTAAGTTTTTAGTTCCATTGTTCTCATTTTAACCTTAATGATAATGAACAGCCTGTTTAAAATCACAAGATTCAAATGTCTTAATTGAGTTTTTTTGGATATTGAATAAGTAAACGTTTATCCAAACACAACTTCAACTTTCAAATTTGGACCAAATATCTATGTCAAAACGCCTACTTACATTCTTAAACTTGTGTACAGTCAAACTAAGACGCACAAAATGAAACAGAGAGGAGTATTTTAGATTGGATGGTCCTTCTTACCATTGCATTTGCTAATTGATGGAGTTTGAACTTTGCAAGCATTAGGAAGAGCCAAAGCTTGAGTCTGGTTAATGTTGAGTCCCATGTTAGAGCCACCACCATTAAGGACCTGGCACAAACACTCTGGATTGTTCTTGACCACCGTGCCTAGTTGCGTGCAGCACCCTGAGGACGGAGATGAAGAGTTCCCCGTGATGTAATTCAAGCAAGGCGACATGCTGACCAACACGTTCGTGCAGTCACTGCTCAATTGAGCAGCAACTCCAGACCAGATCATTGCCAACGCGACTAAAACAAGACCTCTAGAGTTCCTTTGATTCGCCATTTGAATTGGCGTTTGCTGCTAAGAAATAGCTCTGTTTTGGAAGTAAAGTTGATCACACTATGTTGATGGAAGATGAAGATAGCTTGTTTGATTTATATTAGGAGATTGAGAAGTAAGAGTCAAAATAAGATGCTCTAATAATTGGTGACTAACAAGGAAAAAAATAGTTGTCACAGGTTGGCATTTTGGATTTTTGTCATTAGTTTTTGTTCTATACACACTGACGGTATTTACCCTATCAAGTCATTGTTGCTCGGTCTCTTCAAAAATGTCACTGAATGCATGCCAGACTAGACATAGGTACAACAATATTTTTGAAAAAGCTGAAGCAACCTATAAGTAGCTTGGTATAACATGTTAAATTATATTAACAATATTAGTATATACAACTTAAATTCCTTTTTATCATAATTTACAAAGGAATTAGGTAGAGTAGATAATGGTTAGTTATGCAGGTGGACAACTCATGCAATCTAACAAACCCCACAATTTGTTAAATGCACATGCTTCTAGTTCCTAATTTTTCTATTTTTTCACTATTATTTCAAAACTTTTCTAAATGGCAATTACACTTGATGCTAGAAAAATATTTAAATAAAATCACTAAATATGTGCGAGTCCCCGGACTAAAATTCAAAACTCATAAAGTTCAAATCCTGGCTCCATCTCTGAGTCTCGGAACTGTTACTTCCTCCTTGACATTGAGTCCTGGAAAATATGAACTATCCAAACATGTTAACGCCATGGCATACATGGAATCTTTGGACATATCAGCTACTGTAACGAATTGTTTCCTTTTAGGATAATAGATGATAAGTTGTTGATTCCATTGTCCATGAAAGATAATTTCACCATTTTCACTGCACCACAAAAGCTTTTTATCTTGTACAAACTTTATGCAAATATCGTGCAACTTGCACACGTTGATTAACCATTTCCATTCGTCTTGTTCCATAATCCATATGTCCAATTCTTTGTCATGGTATGTTCCTCCATATAAACTAAGACGACCTTTCAAAGTATTCAAACTAAAGAAACCGTTCACACCTATAAATTCGGGTAGTGAAAGTTTCTTCAGTACATCTGACTTTACGTCAAAGTATATGATTGTAGAAGTTCGACTATCTACATATTGGTTGATTAAACACCAATTCAAAGACCAAAATACACTATCTCCCGTGCTAATCCCTTGAGAGCAACGATTATTAAATATTCGTATTGGACAAGGGAAACTTGTTTTCTTTGTCCAACAACTCTTACTTGAAGAGTAGACAACATAAAACAAGCTATATATCAGTATAACCTTGTAATCATCAAGATTCGAATCATAGCACAACCCACAAGCTTTCGGACATCCATCTTCGTGGTTGTTCAAATAAGGACATGAATCAAGAATTCGATATTCTCTTGTAGATGGATTCCACAAAACATACTCTTTATCGGAGTTATTGGCCTTTAAAAGTACCAAACCATCACATGAGCACAAGATTTCACCACATTGAAATCTTTTTAGAGGAAATAGTTGCTCTTCCATCAAACATAATTGAGAATGACGATTTTCCAAGTCTCTCAACTCGAAATGCCCATTAATTCTTTGTATCATGAGCTTTTCGCGGCCCAATGCTTTGGATTGATCACGATGAGCTTTCTTGAATTTTTGTTCAACTAATATAGCATTCCATGATTTAGAAACAGATTGAAAACGTAACAACGATTTAACAGGAAGCCTAGTAAATATAAAAGATATTATCTCAAATGCAAGATTAATGGATGTATCACCTTCCATGTCTAGCCTCTTTTGTGCTTTCTTCTTAGACATAATCATAATATCTTTTATCGTTTGTAGTAAAGGGAAAAAAAAAACTTTATATTAGGGTTTAATATTTTTATTTTTTCCTATTTCTATTTGGAATGGGGGGAAAAGTAGTCTTTTTGAAGAAAAAGGATTCTTCTAAATAATTTGCTTACATGATAAAGTCTGTTTACACTCTATCCTTCTCAGACTCCACTATTGTTGCTCTTTTCTCTTTCTTATCATCTTGTGTGACATTCAGAGACGGAGCTAGGATTTTGAGTTCCGAACATTGATGGAGATTAATTGGATACCTACTAGAGGATGGAGGTTTGATCCAAGTGATAATGACATACTAAATATCCTGGAAAATTATGTAACAGGACGAGCCAATCCTCCTCAATCTACCTTCAACTTTGCAAATTTTTATGGCGATATAACAAATCCATCAGCATTGTTTGCTGTTGCAGTCGGAGACCCTGCAAATCCAACAATCAAATACTTTGTGAATACTGTAAAGGATAAAATATCAGTAACATCATCATTGGGATTCTATTGGAAAAGAGACAACCAACTTATAGGCATTATTAATGAAGTTACGGGTGAAAACAGAGGTTTTAAGAAGTCAATCAAGTTGTTTCAGAAGGGCGTGGATTCAGATGAACTCGTGTGGATAATGACGGAGTACTCTTTGAATTCGAATACACCAGGAGTTGAAGAAGATTTGAAAAATGAAGTCATATGTCGAGTACGGAGAATTCTAACTAGCAATCCTAAGGTACCAATTTATAGCTTTGAGCTATATTTTGAAATAGATTTTATTTCATTATATTGACGAGTGGATGGGACAAGAGTACTCTCAAAAAGAAAAAAAAAATTCACATAAATTGAAACAGAGGAAACACTTTTCGAGATAATAAAGTTGCATGGACTTTCAATGGGAAAAAGGTTAATTGTTGAAAGTAGTAGGAAAGGACTTAAATTTAGTTCAACTATTCTCTTTCTTTCTTGGATTGCCTTGTTCTACTTTTCAAATTACTCGTCTCATAAAAAATAATTAAGTACATGTACTAAAATGGATGTTACTTCTAATTTTATTTATTATGGAAGACAAGTTACGTTGAGATTATTTAGGTTGGATTACTTATTCTGGAATTGATTATTTAAGGATTAGTAATTAGTATCAGGGAAAAGATCCCAAGAATTTAAAACTTTACAATTTTGATTAATTATTCTCTTTTCAGGCCAGGCCCAACAACAGCAAGAAGCCCAAGCCCAGCAACAACAAGAGGAGGAACATGAAGCTAGCTGACATTGACTTGCAACTAAAGTTGTGATGTGGTAGCACAATATATATATATGTCAAACGAGTTTTTCCTTTATCATAATTTTGTTATATGCCTTATAGATATAGTAATATTGTTTAAGTTAACTATAGATGATGCCCGTATGAATCAAATCCTCCAGATAGAATATATATTTTAAGAATCCAATACAGGTACAACAACGTTTTTTTAAAACACTAGAGCACCATATTTAATAATATCTATTTGATAACCTTTAATAAGTAGCTTCGCATAACGTGTTAATTATCCTTTTTGTCATTAATTTACAAAGGGATTAGGTGGAGTTGGATAATAATTAGTTATGCAGGTGGCCGACTCATGCTAACTGACTGACCCCACAATTGTTTATTGGTAAAAAAAAAAAAAAGTTAAAAAGAAAGTTTATGATTGTTACAAAAAAATGCATATTGTGAATGAAAAAAGTAGAATTCAAGTTCAACACTATCTAAACATTGTTTGGTTTTTACTTTTGTTTTTCAAGAAAAATAACTTTATTGTCTAGGAAAATTTAATTCATACTTAGTTTTCACAGACCTCAAAAAGGGGTCACCTTTGCTAAAGAACATTTTATCCAAAGTGAGACTTCTCAAAATAAATTTAGATTAGTTGGACCCCAAGCATGTACCGAACACCAAGTGTGGGAAACCAAAAAAATTGAAAAAATTGCAAGTCAACTTTTTTTTATTTATGTTGACTATTCCAATACTAAGGCAGTTGAATCAGATTTCTCAAAGTAATGACAATGATGATTCATATCTTGAGTTATATGTGTGTGTTAACACATATTTTCATTTCATTAATCACTTAACAATAGTAAATTATATAAATTTAGTGTCAACACACGTATGAATAAAAGTCTACCCTTTTATATTTTTATCACTGAACTAGTTCTCCACCTACAAATTATGAGTTCAAACAATTATATTTATTGAAACTTTAGAGATTTTCTCTTCTATGCTTCGTATCAAAAATATTGGATTCAAATGAATTCGGAGTTAATGAACAACAATTAGGCCACGGCAAGCAAAGCCAGCAAAACTATTGAAAAAATTAGACCAAAAAGAGAAGTTTGTTAAGGTAGTTGAACTTCATTCACCTACATTTCCCTCTATATATTCCCTCTTAATTCTCCCCACCAATTAAACCATTCAAATTTACAAATTACAAGCATATCATAAAAACAATTTCTCAAAAAGCTTCCTACTATTTACTATGGCTTTTCATTACTCTATTTCTTTCCTTTCTTGCATTATTGTTTTAGCAATTTTGCCTATTAATGCCCAAATTGTGACATCTCCATGTACAGCAACAATGCTGACAAGTTTCACTCCTTGCTTGAATTTCTTATCCAACGGCAACGGAACGGCTACACCATCTCCTGGCTGCTGCAATGCATTGAGAACAATGATGGGCAATGGCTCTGCTTGTCTCTGTGTTATTGCAAGTGGTGGCATTCCCTTTCAGATTCCTATTAATCCTAACACAACCATGTCTCTTCCTCGAGCTTGTAACATGGCTCGCGTTCCCCTCCAATGCCAAGGTAAAAGAATTTTTTGGTAGTAGTAGTAACATAGGTCGAGGTGGATTCAAGATTTAAAGCTTGTGTGTTCAAGCTTGGGTTTGGATGAACGCATAAGTTATTAGCTTGATTACATATCTACAATAAGTTGTTGCCACGATTTGAACTTGTTACCTCCTGGTCACATAGTTGCAACATTTACGATTTGGCCAAGGCTATATCCTTCATTCCTCTTATCAAAGAGGTAGCCCGTTGCACTAAGCTCCCACTATACCTCCTAATCACATAGTTGCAACTTTTACTATTGGGCCAATGCTATCTTTCATTCCTCTTATCAAAGAGATAGTCCATTGCATTAAGCCCCCGCTATGTGCAATGTTCAAGAAAGGGTCGGACTATATTAGGTCATATGTATGCAATCTAAGCAAGAGACTATTCTCACGACTTGAACTTGTAACCTCCCAATCACACAATCGGCAACTTTTACCGCTAGCCCAAGGCCCCGACCTTCATTCCTCTTATCACAAATAAGAAATTTAAGAAGATTGTTACATATATATTTACATATCAACATATTTTTTTCATTCAAATTGGTAACTAACATCCTTTGTGGTTCTCTTGATTGCAGCCTCCACTCCACCTGCAGCAGCTCCAGGTAAATATTAGTACCTATATCATATAATCATTTATTTTTTTAATAATGTCCATATTTCAAGATTTTATAATCTAAAATTGTCATGAAAATGTGAAATTATTACTTTTTGTGAATATAGGTCCTGTTGGAACAGAGGCTCCAAGTGCTTCACCAACATCAGCTCCTACTGCTTCTCCTAGTCCTAAAGGTATTACTTAATAGTATCATTTTGTAGTCCATAAGCTTCCTATATAATTATTCTAATAATTTCATATCCGATTTGACCTATGGACAAATATACAAGTATACGTTCCATGTTTGTTGAAAGGTCAATCTATTCACTCGTATTGATATATTTCTCTTTATTAATAAATCAACTAATTAAACTCATGTATGTATAATCAATTTGATCCTTCAATTGAATCGGTTAACCAAATAAAAGTTATGTTGCTCAAACTATCCAAAAATGCACTAATTTTGAAGGATCCAAAAATGTTGGGCGGCATTTTTGAAGAGTTTGAGCAATATAGATTAAAAGTTGTGTTGCTCGGATTCTTCAAAAATGTATGTATTAGATCCTTCAAAAGTTATTTTAAGGATCCAACATGGCTGTGACAAACATTTTAAGAGGATCCGAGCAACATAGGTTAAAAGCATATGAATCAAAAGATTAACTTGATAATGAATTTAATTTGCACCAGGTACAACAGCTTTCAACCCAATGTCACCAGCTTTGGCACCACAAGCTGATGTAATTCCTACTGAAACTCCACCATCTCCATCGGCGACGAATTCTGGCCGCCGTCAAAACCCTAATACTCCATCAGCTGCCCCTTCTGTTGGCTATGGTTTTTCACCATTGGCCTTCATTGCTGCATTTGGTGCAATTGCTTTTATGTTGTATTAGTTTGAAGTTAGACAGTACTAAAGTTAGTAAATTTGTGTGAGATTTGTACTATTTTGTTATACAACTATTCTTTGATGTAATACAGAATCTTGAATTTTTTTAATGTATTTCTTGTTGAATTAGTACTAAGGACTCTTTGAATTTTTTAAAATTCGAGTGTTTGTTATGTAAAAATTTCATGGGGTACCCTATTTCGACACACTATTTTTAATTTGTACCCAATTATTTATGATATTTTGCATGTCTACTCACTTTGAAACGAACTTCAAACATACAGTGTCTGAAATTTCATGTCTAATATCCAATTGTAACACTTTCTGAATGAGTTTGACTTCAACTAGTCCATATGAAATTGTGAAATATTTGTGCTCATCTACAATATTTGTAGCATGACTAGCTAGAAAGAGCTTAAAGCACCAAATGTATGATGTGAGTAGGTTATAAGCAAGCAAAAACACTCATGACTACAAAGCATAAATATACACTAAACTTTCTTACAAATTCATTATCATAATTGAAAAGTTGTTGATAACAATGTACACTCTTAAATTCAATTGGGTTTTTGCATCTATTCTTCTTCTTTTTACTTTTACATTGTTCCCAATAGCTACATGTCATTTGCCACAATGTTCATTTGAAGGGATAAACTTGGAGAAATGCATGGATCCAGACAAAAATCAAGCTTCTTTTGATTCTTGTTGCAATGCACTCAATCAAGTGATTCAAGCAGGATATTATTGCTTGTGTGCAATATTAGGCTCTTCAAGTCCTCTTATAACAAACTCACTTGTGCTACCTTTTTCTAATTGCTTCATTTCAATACCTCCATTGACACATTGTCAAGGTAATTAATAACTTCTCTAATTGATAACAATTCTTCTTTGAATTCTATGCTTATTAATTACTCCCTTCGTTCCGACTTACGTTACGTAATTTGACTTACCTATGATATCATACCTTTTTCTCTATTTGCAAAGTAGAATTTCTCAGCAAAGGAGATTCAATTGAACCTCCCTTATTCTTACCTAGCTCTGGAAAGACTTTTGAATGTTGTGCTAAAACATCAACGTTCAAAAGTCTTAATAGGCGTACAAATGTTATGACATGTTTAATAACATAAGTTTCAAAAGTATTTTTTTCTCTATTAAATTCCACGTCCAATCAAACTATGTCACATAAGTTTTAATGAAGCAATATCATGACACATTTTGTAGAAAGATATCTAATTTTGGTGCTAATTTGTTATATTTACTTTTTTTTGTAGAACCTAAAGCAAAGGTTAGTCCAGTACAAGAAATGAGGCCACCACCAAGTAGACCAATACCAATTTTTTGGCATCCAAAATCACCAAATGAACCACCACCATTACCACTACCATCAGTACCAAAGGACTTAGTGTTGCCATTGCCACCAAACATGGATGATATTCCAGTTCTGAATTCAGCTAGACATGATAATGTTACAATTTATTCACTTTTTCCAGAATTTAAAAATCCTATGGCTGGATATTTAACATCATTAGGTGGAGAAAGCAAGAAAATTTTGTTGTATGCTAAACTTCACCTTTTGCTCATAGTGACAATATTTTATGTAATGCTTATGAACTGATATGATGATTGCATGTTTTCCAAATAATGGAACTCTTAATTTTGAATTTGCTTAATTCACTGTGCTTGATAAACTTAGCAGTTCATTTATACTACGTTAAAATTACTGATAGATAAAATCTAGACATGTAAATTAAGCTAAGGAAAATTTTCATTTGAATTATATTCAATAAGAAAAGAGAGGATTTGTTGAATGTCAAGTATTCAATTTCACCAATACGATAGAAAGACCAACTTCACATTTGAAATTGCACAAAAAAAGAAAATTTACTCTCAGTCTACAACAAGCTTGTCGCTTTTTCACATCATAACAACTCATGAAAAACCATCACCACTTATCTCGAATAAGTTTGTGAAGTTAACTCCAATAGTGAAAAAATGATTTGTCATTCAATTAGTGACATACATATAATTGATGTTCAATTCAAGCTATGAACAGAAGTTCTTTCATAACGTAACTCTGAATTATTATAGTTGTGTAGAGTTCCATTTGAGTGTTAGATTGAATCCTTTTTCTCCCTCTGGAGTAAGGATTCAATCTTATACCCAAATGAAGATCCACCTTTGGAATTACCGCGGCTGTAATAGCCAAGCATTGTGGAGAAACTTCCATTCACTAATTGAATGTAGCAAACCATCTAATAAGCATTTTGTTAACACGTTCAGATGAAAACTATATGATAAAATGACCAGCTTGGAACCCAGGTCGTACAGGACACAAAGCAAAGACGGGCTAACCTGGACTTTTGACACATATTTCCTGGTCCAGTATGCTTGAAATTCAGATGTTTCACATAGCAAAGTTATGGGTGGAATGCAGTAGGATTGAAGTTAATGCCACTCTGCTGGAACAAAACTACATTGAAACAACATCTGCAATCACTGCATATATACATGACTCAAGTATTTCATATTTTTGTCATAACAGAAGGAAACAAGAAAATGAGAAACAAATTCAGATGACAACAGAATATACAACTGTATAGCCCAAAAGGCTGTTTAGGGGGGCAAAAAGGCAGCTTATATATCATATTACTATAAGTTTTGCCAAATGGGGTAAATGACAATGCATTGCTGTGAACATATACTTGGAAAAAGGAGACTAGTTCCAATTTAAACTGTCACAGCAAACTGCAAACCAAAGTTCACAGCACAAGGTCATAAAGGATCACACCAATTAATCCAATTCCATTCACAAAAACTTTCCAAGTTGTATATCAAAACAGAAAGTCGACAGCACCATTGAATTCAAAACTATCAAAACAAGAGCCAATTCTATATTACAAAGCTATGAATTGTTCACTTCAGATCGATTTCAAAACTAGGAGTTCATTTATTCTAAAACTCTTGAGATGCAGAGCCAATATCACCCTTGCCTGAGCCAGCCTTTCTAGGCAACAGATTCTGGTGAATGTTAGGCAAGACACCTCCATTAGCAATTGTAACTTGACCCAAAAGCTTGCTCAGCTCCTCATCATTTCTCACAGCCAACTGAATGTGCCTCGGCACTATACGATTCTTCTTGTTATCCCTTGCTGCATTTCCAGCCAACTCCAACACCTAAATTAAGAAATTATAATAAATTTAGTCTCAAAAGATTGTACAAGTTTTTTTACATTAAAGAAAACAACTCCAGCATCACAATTTCCAGATAGTCAGTAACATTAAACTAGATAAATCTCTAAACACCAATACCAATTCTTCAATTGATTATCACAGTCCATTACTAAACATGATTATCCAACCATCAACATGAACTAATCATACTATACGAATTCTCCAAGTGTTAACCCTTAACAAAGCTCATACACAACAATTAACACAGAGTATGAACAAACAGAACCACCATTGTATCAGATTGCAAGTTGACTGACAAATGAAACCAAATTAAACACTGCAACCACTCCAGTGTATGTAACACTATCTCCTACTTAATTTGTTGCAAAATGAACCACACAAACAAAATAAATTCAACTTTAAAATTCACATTTCTACAGTTAATACGTAGCCTTTTTAAGCTACACAAATTCCATGTCTAATAATCACAAAAGTTATGTTATAGCATGTTTAAAACTAAAAATATCAAAAAACAGTCCTTAAATTCGATTCCAGATTCAAATCATGTCACATAAAATAGGGTAAATTTGAATCAATTAATGAAATCAAGTAAGACTTACAGAAATTGAAGTAAATTTTAATTCAATCGACCAAATCTAGTAAAAACAATCGCATAGAGAACATTTGAATTCAATCAACCAAATGAATTAAGAACAATCGCAAAAAATTGGAGTAAATTTCAATCTATTCGACCAAATCAAGTGAAAACAATGCATAAAATTTGTATTCAATCAACCAAATCAATTAAAAACAATCGCATAATATTGGAGTACATTTGAATTCAATCAACCAAATCAAGTACAATCGCACAAAATTGGAGTGAATTTCAATCTAATCCACCAAATCAAGTAAAAACAATGGTATAAAATTAGAGTACATTGAATTCAATCCACCAAATCAAGTATAAGATTACCTCAGCAGCGAGGTATTCAAGGACAGCAGACAGATACACCGGTGCACCAGCTCCAACACGTTCAGCATATTTTCCATTCTTAAGGAAACGAGCGATTCTACCGACGGGGAATTGGAGACCCGCCTTTGAAGACCTAGACACAGATTTCGATGCCTTTGGCTTCCCTCTACCGGCGCCGCCCTTGCCTGATCCACCGCCGGAACTCATTTTTTTCCGATGAAACAAAAACCCTAAATCTAGCTCTCGATTTTGTATGCTGCTGTTTTTGGCGTCAGTGGTGATAGATGAAGAGAGTAGGGATTCTATATATAGGAGTAAATGCTGTGTGCTGATTGGTGGAACTGATGGGCACAAGGATTGCCAACGTGGAAGTGGGCCCACACGTTTTGAGAATCGCGCGGGAGATTTTTAATCTAGAAACGCGAATGGCGCTTTTTTTCTGTAAATTTGTATTAGGAGTAAATTTACGCATAAGACAATACAATATTTGATTGATCGTATAAGAAATAATTGTCACGTAACTAAAATGTACATTTTATTGTATGTATTATGTGATAATATTCGCTTCAGTGAATTTATATAATATTTATGTGAAATAGAGTATGGTCTAAGAATATGTTTATTTGTTATGTGGAAATTAAAACTATTTTTGAAGTACATAATACTTGTATAACAATCTCCTCATATTATCCCTTGTTATTAAACACTTTTATAAATAATTTATACAATATAATTTCTACATAATTAATATGTCAATCAAACAAGCCTTTAGTTAAGGAGACAATGTAGGTATTTTTATTGAAAATCGCCACTTCGTTAAGAAGATGATAAGGGTGTTCACGGCAAATCAAATCAAATCAAATCACAAAAAGGACATTTTTTTTGTTAGATTTGATTATATTTTTAGGTCAAAAATTTATTTTTTAATATGATATTTGTTCGTTTTATGTACTAACTTTTTACGTGGAGTTAGATTTAAGGTTAATTTTATAATATATTTAAGAATTAAAAAAATTACATGGTACTCTAACACTGCAATTTAACATGTATCCAACTTTTTAAAAAAAATGCACGCCTAGAACATATATAAAGTTACATATGGATGTAACTATTGAATAAGACTAATTTTTAAAAAATAACCTCTAATTTGCCTAAGTAATAAGTTATTTTATCTGTTCTTTTGTTGAGTATTGACACTATATTAAATTAAATGAGTAAAGTAATAACATAATATTTTATCGTGAAAAATTTCAGTTCATAAAGTATAAAAAAAGCAACAATCTTATACCACTATAGAATTTAACTTCAATTTTATTAAATTTTGAGCCTCAACAATTTAAGTTTACAAACTTTGTAACATAAGAAATTAAACTCTAATTCCTATAAATCAACAATCACTTTTGATTGTTGAACCATACTTCACTCAACACGAAGTCTTAAATCAACTTAGATTACAATTATTACAATTCCAAAAACTAAACTCTAATTTCTTTAAAGCAATAATCACCTTTGACTATAGAACTCAACTTCAAGCTGCCCTCAACTAGAAATATGCTCTTAACTCTGAAAGCAAAAGATTACAACTCAATAAGTTTGCTCCTTTCATTTGTTCTCCTATTTGTCAATTGTGAAAGCCCTTTTCGATCTAACAAAATTATTCTTTTTGATGATGACAAACCATTGTTTCTTGTGTGTATAATATGATGATAACACTCCATGTTAATTCACTTTATCCACCTCACCCTAACACACTTATATTATTTGTCTAAAGTCTTAAGGTAAACTTAGAACATGTAAAACTCATCGATGCTTCTTTAAATCTTTTAAGATCATGATATGTTTCACAAGAGTGTCACTTATACATGGTACATGTTGACAAAAAATTTGACCGCTCAGAAGAGCAACTTGCTTTTCATAAAAATAAAATAAAAAAATAAAAAATAATCAAGTGAGTAAAAAAGAAGAGGCAAAACGATGTCGTATATAGCTTTGTGGTTCTTGTTTATTTGCGAGTTGTAATCTAATCTCAATATGTGGTCGCCAAAAAGGTAATGCTTCGACTTCTACTACCTCACTGAACTTCTTGTGTTATTTCTTCTTCAACCTCTCCAAAAATTTATCAAAATTGCAGAAAAACTTATCGAAATTGATGAATCAAAAGATATAGCATCTGGGGTTAGCTTCTTTTAGCTTGAAGTACTGTAAAAATTACATCTTCAAAGCTATTAAAATCCTTTCATGGCGTCTTCAATACTGAGTGGAGCTGATAATTTCAAGCTTCTTAGTGGAATTTCTCCATCTGGGTCATCATTTCTTGGATCAGAATTGAATCTTAAGTGTTTACCCCAAAAGGGTTTTGTTAATTTCAGAGCAACAAGAACCCTAAGACCCACCAAATGCAGTTTATCTGCTTCAAGGCCAGCTTCTCAACCAAGATTCATACAACACAAAAAAGAGGCATTTTGGTTCTACAGGTTCTTGTCTATTGTGTATGACCATGTGATAAATCCTGGGCATTGGACTGAAGATATGAGAGATGAAGCACTTGAACCTGCTGAGCTACACACTAGGAATTTGCAAGTGGTGGATGTTGGTGGTGGAACTGGATTTACTACTCTTGGGATTGTTAAGCATGTTGATGCTAAAAATGTGACTATTATTGATCAATCACCTCATCAGCTTGCTAAGGCTAGGCAGAAGGAGCCATTGAAAGAGTGCAAGATACTTGAAGGAGATGCTGAGGATCTACCATTTCCTACTGATACTTTTGATAGATATATTTCAGCTGGAAGGTACCAAATATCTTTTAATCTTGTGGTGTTAAACGTGCTACATGAAAAGTTGAAATTAAAGAGGTGTCAAAAAATATAAAAGACATTCTTTTTTAACAGACTAGAAAGTAAAGTAAGACGAACAAATTGAAACGGAGGTAGTATGTGAGATCTGAACCACAACTCTTTTTGTTTAGTGGATTATGGATACATTTATTTGTACATGTTAGGTGAAGTCTTACCAATAGTACAAGATTTGAGCCATAGCTAGTGGGTTTCTTGGAACCCATATTGTGGCTCTACCTCCGATACTTTGATTTTTTGGATAATGTGTCCGATCCTCAAGGGTGGATGGAGAGTGTTAAGTTATGGCTTCATTAGAAGTGATAAAAATTCACTAAAGAAGTACAGTAAATCGAATGAGTTGTGATAGAATCCCGAACTCGAGCCCATAAAGTTCAAATCTTGGTAACTCTCAAGGATAAATAAGATTGTACTGTGATCTGTTTCTGAAATGCAATTTCTTTCTGTGTTAGTCTTGCCTTTCCTGCAAATTACACTTACGGTATAATACTATGTAATACTGTTAAACAATTAATCAAGCTTGGCCAGTGGTGGAGCCAGGAATTTATACAAGGGGATTCAAATACATACTAGAAATCACACTTGGGATTTGGATTTGTGATCTAAAACAATTTTTGAATCCCCTTGGCCACTTCACTGAAATTTCCCCTTATGTCAAGGAGATTAAACAGGTTACAAATAGCAAAAAAAAACATTTTTCCCCTATTTGCATGGTGTAATTTTAAAATAAAGGAATTCTATTTAACCCCCTTTACTCCATCTAGCTCCGCCATTGAGCTGAGGTGGAGTTTTTGTTACTCTTTCTTATATGTTGGAATACTTTTTAACGTTCCATGTATTTTTAACAAAAGACCATTAGGTTGTGAAGTTCAACTTGCTATGGTTCTGCTATGATTTTTAGTCCACATATAACGTATTTTTTTCGCTTCAATTTTGAAATTACTATTTACTAGTGCACAAGTGAAGTGTGATTCACTGATTCTTTGAAGAATTAAGATGCTTGTTATACTCAATATACGGAGTGCAAGTGAATATCTAATAACATAAAATTATCATTTTCACTGTAGGTTTATAACCATTGTTTATATTTCCTTACTTATTGTTAGAGTGGGGTAGAGACCACGGGAATGGACCATTGGTTTGCTTCTATGGACTTGGGCAATCCTCCTTCATGAGCTAGCTTTTGGGGTTGAGTTAGGCCTGTCATATTTTACACTTACAAATTTTTGCTTATATTGATTCTTATTGTTGGCAAGTTCAAGATTAATATTTATGTTTGATGTGTGATCTTGCTCATTCTGGTGGAATCCAGTTCAATTTACTGCGACAATAATTACTGGTGTCACCTATTTATTACTTCTAGATGTAATAACATGATTGTGTTCTCCAGCATTGAGTATTGGCCAGATCCACAGCGTGGTATCAAGGAAGCTTATCAGGTACTAACCATAGGTGGGGTTGCCTGCGTGATTGGTCCGGTGTACCCAACATTTTGGTTATCTCGTTTCTTTGCAGATGTGTGGATGCTCTTTCCAAAAGAAGAAGAATATATAGAATGGTTTAAAAAGGCTGGTTTCACACAAGTTAAGCTGAAGCGGATTGGCCCAAAATGGTATCGTGGTGTCCGCCGACATGGGTTGATCATGGGCTGCTCTGTGACTGGAGTGAAGCCATATGCTGGGGAATCTCCATTGCAGGTAGGGACTTCTTTTCCTAAACGTGTGTTGTTGCTTAGAAAATACCATATTTGAAGCTTTTGTGTTGGTCAATCTGTTAGATGACTTAAATGCTTCGGTTTCCTGTTTATTTATGTTTACATGGAAAAATATTAAACACATTTGTTGACTTTCTGACGCTATATCTTACTCTCTTCATGCCACTTTACAAACACATTTTCCACTTTCAAACATCTCGAAACATTTGGTATACTATACAGAAAATACAAATTCTTGGGAATTCTAATTTCATTAAGCAATTGGAAGTTCAAGTATTATGAAATCTATTCTGCATTACAAGCTTAAACTTTTCTCGTTTCATCTACAGTAAAACTGTGTGATCTATATTGTGATCACCGTATATGTGGACGCCTCCCTCCTTTTCTCTACTTTTACTGAATTTTTTTGCTGTTGACTAGCGGATAGCCTACAGCGCAATCAGTTTAACTCTCAGTATTTTTGCCTTACACAAGTACAATAACAACTAAGCCTTAGTCCCAAGAAAGTTGGGTTCGGCTATATGAATCCTCAGTGACTATGTTCCCCCATTTAAATTCATCTCAGGCCAACATTATACAAAATAAAAATGAAAGTATGCACCATTAGTAAATATACTTTCTTACACCATTGAAGCTTTGCTGTCAAACTGGAACTATTCTTTCTTATACCATTAGTTAATATAATCTGGTGCCGTGTTGTTGTGTTGCAGCTCGGTCCCAAGGTTGAGGATGTGAGCAAGCCTGTGAATCCTTTCGTATTTCTCATGCGATTCCTGCTTGGCATAATGGCTGCAAGTTACTACGTGCTCGTTCCAATATACATGTGGCTTAAGGATCAAATCGTCCCGAAAGGTCAGCCTATCTGAATGATAAGGACGACTTATCAATCCAAGAGAAGTTCTCCACAATTTCTGTTTGACAGTTCTCCACCAGTGACCACAACTCTGTCGCGGACCAACAAAGTTTTTGGCATCGTCATACGGGTTAATTTGTTAAAGGTATCATGAATGAATTTGTTGAACTTTAGTCTGTTAGTTTTTCAGCCTTAGAAAGGGCCCTTGTAAATTTTATTTTCATGGTAAAACCTAGAAAATCTTTGTGACATTTTCTAGTTGTATAATCTATCAGTCATGTTTTTTAATCGTATGTTGTGAAAACTCATTGAAATAAATAGTAGTAATGCATTGTTTGCCAATATTGAGCAAGTTTTAAGTATTTTAGTACTCATGTGTGTCCCTCATAGTTGATGTTCTTGTCTAATCCTTGAACAACTTCAGCATGTGCGAGTCGCCCAAAGTTGTGGTGGAGTGGTAAGTACTCCTGCCTCAATCAACGGTCTTAGATTTGAACCCTGAGTATGAATTCGTCTTTGGTAGGGAGTGTAAAGTGTTTTACACCTAATGTGGGAGGCATATGCTGATGTAGCTTTAGCGCTACGGGTTCAACTAAATTCATTATCTTGACACAAAACATAATTGTACGTAAAAAAAAAGTAAAATTTCTATTAATATTAGATTATGTATCCATGATTTTAAAAGGATGCAATGCGAAAAGTATTAAAGGATAGTTTGGTGCACTAGGTTTTTGCTATGCTCGAGGTTGGGGAAATAATTGGATCACATTGGGTTTTTATGTACGGAACCTTATCTTACATTTTTACAAAAGATTATTTCCACAGCTAGAACTTGTGACCGTAATACTACCTCAGGTAGCTTCCCCAAACTTTTACAAGAAAGGAATGAAGATTATAGAGGAAATTAAGAAATCACAAAGGATGACCATATGAGTCAAGTCTCTAAATCATTTTCTCTTTTGCAAACTTTCCTTACTTGGTTAAGAAGTTAACTAGAAACACATTTTCATGGGAGGTATTTGGTAGAGAAATTAGTAAATATTTTTTTTATCCACAACACTAGAAGTCCATTTTTCTTATTCCTTTGGAATTTGGACAAAAATAACATGAAATTTACTGGTTCGAGATCCTTCTATCTTTTTCTATTAAAAGATCATACTTTAATTTGTAATAGAGTTCGAATTAGTGTCGTGTGCTCAAAATTATGTATCACTTGCTTTGGAATAAATATGAAAAAATACATTGATTTGTACATACTCACATTGCAAAGATATATTCAAGATTTGAAATTTCATCGGTTCATACAGCAATCTAAAGTTATTACACATAAAAACTGAATTCAAAGTCAAGATTTTGTCTTCATTTTGTTCGAAAGGACCCTCTTATTCTCATGACCTGGTATGGTCAGTTCCCAACGAACCTCTTTTGTTTCAATGAATTTGAAGATTTATAAGTATTTAACAGATTCGCTAATATATATATATATATATATATATACTAGATTCACGTGAGTCATATTCTAAATAAATTTAGGAGTGTAATAAGATCCCGCAAAAGCGAAGTATATACCCTATATAGTTAAAAAGTTAAAAATGGCAATCCTCTGGGCACGCAACGCAGCGTTCTGTTTGGGTGTAAACCTAAAATATGGTCAAAATTTTAATATTCTCTTTTAGAATTCGGAGATTAGTAAGGTGTCTTTATAATATTCAAAATTTAAAAATTTATAAATTTAAAAATTTAGATTCGCCTTTGGAGGTCGTGGCCTTTAGATGACGAAAATTTTAAATTAGTCGAGTCAATAAATTTCGATTAATACAAAATAAAATAACAGGGCTTACGTGATAAAGCCATGACCAACAACTACACCTAATACCGGTCTAAATTCAACTTGACTGTCTTTATTTGGAAATGTCTTCTAAAAGAATTTTATGAAAAACAAAAGAAATTTTATTTGTTGCAACTCGTAAGGATAACTGAGATGGTGCAATAGATAGTATATCTCATATGAAAGGGTAGAAATCGATTTCTCATTTCAATGTCTTTTTAGTCGAGTTCATCGCATCAAATTTATCTTGTGTGGTTATATCTCTTATGTGGTTTGCGAGTTGTGGCATGGTAACATGTTTATCAAGTGCACACTCAAAGTATAGAGGTTGTGAATTTCCTTGAGATTCCAAAAAATAAAATATATTATATGTTACATAATTCAAATTCGTGCCACGTAGAGTTTACTTAAGGGGAAAATATTTTCTACGAGGGATTCCTCCATTTCAAATGCTCAAATCCGAAATCGTTGGTTGAGTAAATTTTTCGTTTTACTTCTAATGGCATACATATTTAGTCATAAAAACATCATGACATGCTTAGTTCCACAAGTTTTAAAGGACTAATACATAATCAATCCCTTAAACTTGTTAGGATATTTCATTTAGAGAACACTTGAACTAAGTCATGTTTCAATTAAATACTCACCTTAACTCCTAATAAAGTGTTCCAGACACTTTCGCTTCAAATTTCAAAAAAACTTTTTGCGTGTGTTTCATTTATAACATACATAGTTAAGTTAATCACATAAAATATGTCATCTCTTTTAATTACACGCATCAACCTTAGGTACAAAATGCTTGATGTCTTACAACTTATTGAGCTAAATACGTATAATTAAATGATATGACATATTTTATATTGTTAACTTGCTTACCTATTAAACGAATGAGAACACATAAAAAAAAATCAAAACTCAAACAAAAAATATCTAAATGGAACACTTTATTAAGATTTGAGGTGTTCAATTTGAACATAACTTAGTTCGAGTGTCTGAATAAACAAATTTAAGAAACTGACTATATATCAAGCCAATTTTTTAAAGATATTTCTTTTAATAGGTGCCGAAAATCTCTTTTGTTTTTTTACTAATCTTTATGTCTAATCAAATATGGCGATATAACTTTTCTCTTGTCAAACCCCTTATTCACTCTTCTCTCTCTCTTTTTTTTTTCTTTTTAAAAATCTAATTTTTAATAATTTAATGAAATTGAATGCATTTACTTGAGTCCTCTTGTCACAACAAAATTCTTCTATTTAAATAAAAGCCCTTCCAACATTATATACTCAACTCTCTCTCCTCTCTCTCTAACTCAACAAAGATCCAAAAAGAAAACACCATGGCAGATAAAATAGTGAAGGAAGAAAATCAACTTGTTCAATTCAAAGAAGCCATCAATTTATTTGACAAAGATGTACATGGTAATTATTAGTATAATATTAATTTTTTCTTTACATTTTTTTAGTTTTTACTCGATGCTCGAAATCAACATTGAAACCTTACCATGGATATGGTAATAATGAGTACTAGTTATCTTTTTTTCCTTCCGATTTTTCATTTAATGTTTGATATCAACATTTAAACGAAATTTCTGATTAAGGGTTAATTAATCATATTCATCCCAATTTAACTCTCGACATTATTTTTTTTGGTCTAATTATTCCTTTTCTTTTATATAATATCTCAAATATGACATTTTATTTTTAGGCTGCATTACAATTGAAGAATTGGCAACAGTTATAAGGTCATTGGATGAAAATCCAACAGAAGAAGAACTATGTCATATGATTAGTGAAGTTGATGCTGATCATCATGATAATGGAACCATGGAATTTAATGAATTCTTGAATCTCATCACCAAGAAAATGAAGGTAAAAACTCATATTCCTAACACTTATTTAATCGCATCGGGTGTTTACACTTAATTAATTATATCGACTCACTACTACCAAGTGATTTAATAAGTGTGTAAATAGACATGTCATACATGTTGGCTAGCTTGGTGCAGACACTCGATGTGAGTAAATTTTTACGAAATCTTCATCTATATTTCTACTCCCTCTAGATTATGTCAAGCTAGTGGCGGAGCTAAATTTAATGAAGAAATTCTTTGTCAGAAAATTATACATGTACAAATAAAGTAGCAATAGATTTTTATAGTGGTATAAGAGGGGTTCAAAAATGGATTTGAAGTCACAAATTTAAATTCTAAATATGACATTATTATATGTTTTTGAATTTTCTTATTAGAACTTATGGCTTCGTTACTATGTCAAGTTAATAACTTCCAAGTGTTTTAAGGAGTCGTTTGGACATGATTTTTTTTTTTCAGGAGACGGATTTAGAGGAAGAACTTAAAGAAGTTTTTAAGGTGTTTGATAAAGACCAAAATGGATTTATTTCGGCTACCGATGTAAGTCGATTTTACGTTGGAGTTTCATACTTTTAATAATTATTGCCATTTTATATTAAAAAAATATATTTTATTTATGTTCCAAAAAAGGAATTACTAGAATTTTTTTTATAAATTAATATTATTTTGTGAGTGTAGTCAATCATGTACGGCATGTACTCATATTGTTCCTTTGAAGACCAGTCAAAAAGATAAAAGGTAATTTAAATTTAAAAATAAAAGAAGTATTTGAAAATATTTTTAAAGTCGAGGTAAATTATTACTTTCAACTTCGAATTATTGTCAACCTCAAAAATACCCCTTTACTTGACCAAATAACTTAAATACACATTTGATCTTGTAACATGAGTGAAATACACTCTTAAATTTTCGTCAAATTTAGGGATGTTTACAACACTTTTCTCGACTTTTTATTAAGAGTCACATGCTCCTACAAGTGTTTGAGACCACTTGTTATGTCATGTGACAAATCGGTGTGTATTTCAGTTTAATTAGTCAAGTAGAAGAGTGCTTTAAGAATGTCAATAGTCCAGAAACGAAATTTATAATTTACGTCAAATTTAAAGATGTTGAATTAGTAGTAAAATATTTTAATTAGATTACCAATGAATATAATTATTAAACTAGTTAAGGGAAAGGTGAGGGGGAACACATGTTAAAAATTTTCTGTCATTACTATTAAATATTCTTTTTTTTACAGTTGTTTCAAATCCTAGATAATTATTAGGTTATTATCATTAGGTTATTATTAACTTTGAAACCAATCTGTCAATGCAATGAATTTTCCACAGTTCACACTGAACAATGCACTTGCTCCTTTTGACTTTCTATTTATTACTATCTTATTAACGAATCATAGTGGAACATATAAGATCTCTATTTTTGATCAAAAATCTCGAATTCTCTAGTTTTAAAAGTCGTACATATATAGTTCTTGTAAAATTACCTTTCCAGACAACATTAAATCAGATCCAATGTTTACTCAATCTTATAAATAAAATAATAGATTATCGTCTAATATTTTCAATAACTTATAAAATCTTAGATCG